CAATTCCAAAATTTATTCATACGGTACATTTTTAATTTTTGCCAATCAATTTGTATAAATTACTGTATAAAAAAAAAAGCACCTATGGCAACGTTTTTTAAACGTTGCCGTAGGTCTAACAACACTTCGATTTGCAACACACGTCCAAACGTTGCAAAAGGTCTTTGACAACGTTTTTTGAACGTTGCCGTATGCTGTTTTTGTTGTAGTGATTTATGGACAGAGTAACTAATTGTATCTTCTCAGTTGTACAGCTCTGCTGGTCCAATTGAAGAACTAAACTTATTATCAAGTTGTGGTTATCTGTTATGAATTCAGTAATGCTGGCGTTTCCTTCTCAGTGTTGAAATAATGAAATGGCCATAACTTATGAAAATTGCTAATACATTGGTTGTGTGGATTTGAAAAGGAAATGTTCAAGAAAAGCTGCCAAGTTTATAAAGAAGGTTCACTACATTCATCTTGTGGTCATTTTGGGTTCAAGTGGCAAATACTCGAATTAGTATAAAAAATAGTTGATCTTGCAGTTTTTTTTTGATCTTCGAATGTATTATGAGACCAAATGTCTTGAGGTGATTGCGAGAGGTTTGATTTTATTGGACTTTCTAGAAGAGAGATTAGATACCTTTATGTCGCGAACTAAATATCTATAAAGTGTCAAAAGAAATTTATGAAGAGGGATTAGATAGCTTTATGTCACGATATGATTATCTAGAAAATGTATATAGAAATTTATGAAGTACTGATGTAGACACAAGATGCACACAACCAGACATGACATGACATAAGCATGTGGCATATAACTTTTTAAGAAAGTAGATTACGATTATGTGGGAACATGTAGTTTAAAATTGTATATTTATGTGTCATATTTTTATATATTACTATTTCATTGTTTTGCAATTACATTAAGAGCTTGTTTGAATTTCATTATTTTGCCTACATGCATTTTGAAATATTGATTTGATGGAGAATGTATGGATAAAATATAAGGAAAAATTTTAGGTTTGCGTGTAATATTATTTTATTGAAAAATGTGTGGTTGAAAATATTTTGAAAATAATATGGACCAAA